TCGCGCTGCGTCGCCCTCGTGCTGCGTCGGTCACCCTCCCGCTGCGTCGCCGTCTTTAATTTTAAAATTAAGTAGTTTTCTGAAGCAAATAAAAAGTATCTGAACCAAATATAGCAAAATATCAGTGTTTATTAACTTTGTATGTGGAGAAACAGAGACTTGAGATGGATTACATAGAAGTGAAAAACAAAATTTTGCAGTGGTGCAGGCAGAATGAAGTGAATGAGAATGATGGCACATGGTGAAAAATGTAGTAGTCAGTTTCACTGAATACTTTGGGACAAAGTTGTTAAATGGTGATGTGTTTTTCCGTGTAAACTTAAACATCATAAAACATTTTAAAAATGATTTTTCTTAAAACATAGCTTTATAGCCAAACTATCTAGGTTCAAATCCTGAGTCAGCCTTTTTTTAAAAGTTGTGAGACCTTGAGCAAATTATTTAACCTCTTACAGCTTGTTTTCATCATACATATAATAAGCATTTTAATAAGTATCTACATCATAGGGTGGTTTTGAGGATGGAACATGAAACACCTATAAACACTTAGAACACTGCTTGCTATGTTAGCTATTGTTGAGGACTCTCCTTCATAGGGTCTCTGTGAATCACCTGCAACTGGAAGGCACTTAACAACAACAGCAACATTGTTGCTTTTGGACTTGATTTGATTTGGGGCAGGTTTTGCCTTTTTGGGGCCAGGAAGTGGAAGATTGTTATTTATAAAATAAGGATCCCTGGTAGCATCGTCTGTTTATGTATCAGGTTGCCAACTAAAAGGCAGTTTGAATCCACCAGCTTGCTCTTTGAAAGAATGATGGTCAGTCTCCTCTCAAAGATTTACAATCTCAGAAATCCAATGAATGGTGGTTGTGAGTCTGAATAGACTCAGCAGTAGTGAGTGGATGATTATAAAATGGCTTTACATGCTTTAGAAACACTGTTTATACATACTGTCCATTTTTTTCTTTGACAGAGTTAATCCTGTTCACTACAGTTGGCTAGGTTTATTATTCAATGGTGCCTGTTGTATAGTGTTTATGCTATTACATGATTGTACTGCAATTGTTGATAGAATTATTTAGAAGAAGAAAAAGACATGGACTTTGGAATCATATGATCTGAATTCAAATCTTGATTTCTCTACATACTAATATTAACTGTTAATTGTTAGCTTTTTAATTTTTTTGGTTTAAGGAAAGTATTTTAACATCTATATTTGTGCATTCAGAGTGGTGAATATACTCACCTTGCAGAATAGTTGTATGGTTAAATGGAGTGATGCATGGAAAGCATATCATCCAGTGCTCATCGGAAGCACTCAGTAAAAGCTTATTTTCTTGTTCCTTACATATGTTAACTATTTATCAGGCTTTAATTTAATGTTAATGTATTCTGTCTCTCAGATAGTTATGACCAGAGCGCATTACAAGCAGTTCAGCTGGAAGATGGCACCACAGCTTACATCCACCATGCAGTGCAAGTCCCCCAGTCTGACACAATCTTGGCAATTCAGGCTGATGGGACAGTGGCAGGTCTGCACACTGGGGATGCGACCATTGACCCTGACACCATCAGTGCTTTGGAACAGTATGCAGCAAAGGTAAATATTTTATAACATCGAGAACATTCCAAATGCAGCTTCTTCTTTTTTTTTTTATCTTTTTTCTTCTGTATTTTTAATTAGGAGAAAGGAGGAGGGAAATACTATAACAAATAAGAAAGTAGCAACTTAAATATGAGGCAGCATTAAGGATATCAGCATTTCTATTTTAAAAAAATGAAATTTAAAAAGAAATATTACAGGAAAAATAAATGAAGCTTATAGAAAATAGATGGGCACAAAAAGACATGTTCATAATTAATGTTATAAGACACTATCTGTATGAGTGGTTGAACAGAAGACCAGTTGGCTTTATAAATTCCACTCAATTACAGTTAAAAAAGAAGTAACCAGAGAGTTCCATAAATGGGGGGGGGGGGGGTTTCCTAAAAGAACTAGTAAAGTATAGATAGAATTGCTTATGAATTAAGAAGTAAATAAATATTAGAGATTGGAAATGGTTAGAACAAAAAAGTCTTAGTTAATATTACATTAAAAGGGCTGATTTCATAAAGACAATCTGGGATCAAGCTTAGAAGAGCTAGTCCAAGGTATAAGACTACCAAATACAACCAGAAATGCGCAATCTAAAGAGGATAAAATTGACGCATGGAACCTTCTAAAGATTAAATCCCTGTGCACATCAAAAACTTACAGATGAAAAGAAAACTTACAGACTAGGAACAAACATTTGTTAATACCATCTCAGACAAGAGTCTTTTTTTTTTTCATTTTATTTTATTATATTTTGTGTGAGTGTACCATCAAATCAGATCTGACTGGTACAGGAAGAGATTGTCCCTCCTTCCCCCATCTGGTGGATTTGAACCGTGCGCCTCTGGGATTGTAGTTGCAGCTCCTTGCCACTAAACCACCAGAGCTCCCCAGACAAGAGTCTTATAATACAAGTTTACAGAATACTCCTGGGCCTCCACAAGAAAAAGACTGATAAAACGGCTGATTTTTTTTTTCCTTTTTGAACATGTGTCTTACATAATTAAAAAAGATGTTTTACTTTTTATTGTTGAAATTTAAAATTGTGCCAAAAAGCATAGAATCTATGTATTTATCTCCCAGCCTAAAATATTATCAAAATACAATTTATAAAACTTTATTTTATTTTCATATTTCTAGGTTTCCATTGAAGGAAGTGAAAGTGTAACAAGCACAGGAATGATAGGAGAAAATGAGCAGGAGAAAAAAATGCAGGTATGTAAAGCTACAATTTCATATTTCATTTCTAGGAGCAAGAATAGGGAAATCACTGCTTTTCCAGAGGAATCCCAATTTAGAAAAATCTTGTATGTATTAAGCAGCAGTTTTCTCAACAGCTTCTAATCCTGGGAGATGGGATATGATATGATATGATTATGATATGATATGATATGATATGATATGATATGATAATGTGTTATGGTACGATATGGAATGATCAAAGTGGCAATAAAGGAAATAGAAATATGACAAATCTAAATATAGCCTGGTTTCTGCCATTTAAGACAGCTTTGCAGACAAGTGATCATTTGTCCACCACTATGGAAAACCTGTTTGAAATTAGCATACTGAAGAAACTTGGTATTGCCCTGATACTGACTGCTGTGCCATTGTAGTCTCAAATGCTAAAATGGTTACACATGGTTTAACGGTGTTTGGTGGAGCCCCCAGATTAAGACAAGCTTGGAAGCAGGAGTGGCATCCACTTCTTAAACAACGTGCCTCTGGAAACTCTATGAACTTAGAGAAATGATGATAGTGATAGAACAGAGTTAAACTGTTTTGTTCGTAGGGTTTCTATGAGTTGTGCTTGACACAGCGTCACTTAACAAGAATAACGGAAAACCTGCCAGAGGGTCAGTTGTGAGTTGGTTCTGACTCAATGGCAAACACCCGCTCCCCCATGGCAGTACATTCTTTTTCATTATTCTGATTAGACCGTCCTCTGCTATTTCCCTCTTTTTTAACCTGCTACTTCATTTTGTATCTATTTCTTCTACTTTTATTAATTCTGTTTCTATTTTTCTGTTGGGATTTTAGAGAGCAGATCTGGTCTAATTATCACTGTTCTTACTAGGCAGAACTTAAAAAAATATCCATTAACATATTTCTTTTTTTTTTTTCAGGCTCCACACATTTTACTTTTTTTAAAATAGTATATTACAATGACAAAGGAGTTATCTTTCACCTTAGAATATGCTTTCATAGAGGTTGTTCTGGAAAGAATATAGAATAGTACATAATTTGTTTCGAAGTTTTTCTTTTCTAGCTTTTTAAAAAATTATGTTCCCTTTAGAACCTATGCAAACACTGCATCACTGATCAGAATGTTAATACTGCTAAACTGATGTTTGAAGAGAATGTTAATAGAACATTGCACTTTTCACTTACTTGCCATGCAACTGAGAGTTGTACAATGAATAAAGATGACAGAAGAAGAAAAAAAAAAAAAAGAGGAGGGCATCCACAAGAGACACTGTATATTTCATGATGCCTTGGTAATTGCGGTCCCGAGAGTCTAAATGCAAACTCCATTTAAAAAAAAAAATAAAATAAAAGCCAATAGGAGATCACAAACAGGAAACCGCGGACCATGAGAAGGGCATAGAGCACAAACACCCTGGGCGTGTCAGCTCTCTGCCTGTGGAAGAAGAGTGCCCAGGTCCCGATGAGCGCAATGAGGAGCTTGAAAGCCACAGAAATGAAGAGTCCCTAACAAATTGTGCCGCAAGCCTCCAGCTCTTCCCTTCACAAGATCGGGGGTAAAAGGATGAAGGCAATTGGGGGTGAGGAAAACCAGAAGTCCAAGAAAAGCGGCAATGGTGAGGCCCAGGTAGCATCTGCAGTCCAGCCCCATGCTGTTCTCCAAGAAATGTCCTCTTGTGATACTGTGTTCTGAGGTTCCTGTGATGGCTGACTTCTTCTGTCCAAGGGGAATCATTTTCCAACAGGGGCTTTCCAGTAGGAGCTTGGAGAGTGACATTTTTCTGAGCCCCTGCCATCTTTATTCCAGGGTGATTTATGTTTCTCTATTTATCTCCCCTTGTCTGTGAGATTTTTTTTTT